CACACAGATAGAGAAATATCAGAGAGAGAGAGAGAGAGAGAGAGAGAGAGAGAGAGAGAGAGAGAGAGAGAGAGGGGGGGGGGGGAGAAAGATAGGTACATAGAGAAATAGATAGATAGATAGACAGAGAGAGAGAGAGAGAGGGATGAGACGAGAGAGAGAGAGAGAGAGAGAGAGAGAGAGAGAGAGAGAGAGAGAGAGAGAAATAGAAAAATAGAGAAAGAGAGAGAGAGAGAGAGAAATAGAAAAATAGAGAAAGAGAGAGAGAGAGAGAGAAATAGAAAAATAGAGAAAGAGAGAGAGAGAGAGAGAAATAGAAAATAGAGAAGAGAGATAGAGAGAGAAATAGAAATAGGAAGAGAGAGAGAGAGAGAAATAGAAAAATAGAGAAAGAGAGAGAGAGAGAGAAATAGAAAAAATTGAGATAAGAGAGAGAGAGAGAGAAATAGAAAAATTGTATCGACAGAAACTGTAGCTGTAGAAACTTAGTGAAAGTCAACGAAAAAACAATCCATTGTTTGGGAAAAGCATCTCCAAGGCCCTGAACAAAGACAATGAAACAACGCCCGCTTGGCTACTGAGTCTTGGTACATTAATCGTTTTTTCAAGACACAAAATCAGCAATTCCCTTGAGCTATTTCATTCTTTCTCTTATTATTTTATTATCGTTCCCCTTTTATTCCTCCTTCTCCTCCTCGTCTTCTTTTTATCTTCTTCTTCTTCGTCCTTACTCCTACTGTCGTGCTAATATATTATAATTACCTTAGTATACATCTTCTTCTTTCCCTCCTCCTGCTCCTGTCTTTTCTCGTTTCTTCCTCTCCTCAGTTCCCGCTGCCTCTTGTTGAGTGTTAAAACGTTTGCCATTCGCGGTAACACCAGTGCATAGCCATTATTTGTTGACATGTCGCGTTAATGACTATAGAACACGCTATCGAGTCCACAAGCACGCAAAACGTGTTTTGATATGTCATGAGATATAAACATGTGTGTGTGGGTA